AAATAGAAAAAAAGAGAGGTAGGTAGGGGACGGAAAAGGAAAAAAAGGGAAAATGTTAAAAGAGTATAAAGAAGAAAAAAAAAAAGAAAAGGGAGGCGAAAAAAAAAGAAAAAGAGGAAGAAAAGAAAGGTAAAAAATAACAGGAGAAGAGAGAAGAAAATAACGACCAAAACGAACGGGGTGAAACAGAGAACAAGAGATAGGCGGCATTCACTACATTCATGAAGGGCTGTACAGCCTCCGCGTCCCTCACCACCAGGCACACAACAGAATAGCAGTGCTCGGCCTCGGCGAGGCGGGTGAGGTTGTCGCATTTCGACTCCCCGGATCACCTGCCCGCACCTTTGCCTCTGGCGCACGTGGCGGTGCAATTCGTGCTGGGCGGTTGGAACGCGCGGTGCCGAGTAGCAGGACAAAGGTCGTAGAGAGGAAAAGGCCAGCAACGACGCTTAGCCTCCTCTTGGGAGCTGCTGTGGCCCTCATTTGCTGCATCGCTTCAAACGCGCGCGGAGGCGGCCTGTGCATCGCTGCATAGTACGGCTCCATTGCGGTGTCGACGCCTATCGGGTATTCGAAGTGCGTCCAAGAGAATGGAGCCCCGTTGCGCCGCCAAGGCACCTGCCCGGCGTTCTCCGCAAGCCGGTTGAGGAAAGTGGCTGTCAGGTTGAGCGACGAGTACGCAAAGAGGAGCTTCGAGACTCTGGGGTGATCGCACCCTTCATAGTACATGGTAAAGTCATGCCACATTTGGTCGTATGTGTGCAATTCGCACGCGCCCCCTGCCCCCGCCATCTTGGATGCAAAAATGACGTTCTCCGAGGCTAGTAGTTCGCCGACGCCCACGTGCACTTGCACCGGTGGCAAACGTGCAAGCGTGGAGGGCAAAGCCTTCATTGGCGACGCGACCGGATCCTGTGCCATGGCAGCGCTCCCCGCGTACACCTCTCCAATGTCAGCAAAGCTGGCTGAGAGCGAGTGCGGGTAGCCAGCATAGGCGATATCGCCCCCGATGGCCACTTTGGCTAGCTTACCCTGGCCATCCAGGCCTGGGATGCGGCATTGCTCTGGTGTGCGGGGCTCCTCTCTGGTAGAGCTATGGACGTCTTCCAGTGTGAATATCTGCGATGCGTACGATGGCGTGTCGCACTGCAGGTTGAGCCACGGCGAGAAGAGAACACCGCCAGAGAGCACCGCTCCCGCTGCCCCCGGGAGGCCGGCAGAAGCCTGTGCGAGTAGCGCGGACGCCGCGGATCCACCACCGGAAGAATCGCCCGCAACGAAAAGCATAGGCGCCTTATTCAGCGCGGTGGAGGCTTCTGCGGCCGCGGCTGGCCCTCCGGCGACGATGGCGAGCGGCTCATGGGTGGCGAGCCAATGGAGCGCGCGCCCTATCTGTGCGAGGATGACGGAGAAGTTTCCCACCGGCGTTAGCGTGTAGTCGAGCGCGAGCACTGGCATTTTAGCCGTCTTAGCAATCATAGCGCAGAAAGGCGCATAGCTTGCTGACTCCGGGCTTCCCGTGCGCCAGGAGCCGCCGTGGACGTAGAGGATGCGTGGCGTCGAGGAGTTTGCACCATCTGGCACCCACAGGTATGCATACCCGCGCTCATCACTGCACTGCCGAGGATTGTGCGCAGGGTCGCAGTCCCCACACGCGTTTGACTCACGGCAAGACCATTGCTCGGTGACGACGCCGGCCGGGAGGCGGACGTGGCTCACACCATTGAAGACTGGGTAGCGATCCACGCTTGATGCGTTGAAATTTTCGGGCTCCGCGCCGTTGAAACGGCCCTTCTTGTTGTACTCCGCGTGCACCGCATCCTGGCAAACTGTTGTTTCGTCGCCGGCACCGAGTTGCGGAGGAGAGCCAGCGCAGATGCCGCTCCGGTAAGCATACTCCTTTGCGAGTGGGTCCTTGGATGCCTGGTCGCACGTGCACAGCGGTGCCTCGGACGCCGCCGCGAGTGGCAGCAGCAGCGCGCAGAGGCCAGGCATTAACACAGAGGCACACAGCGACGAAAGGAATGTATATGAAGATTACTGCGGCGCGGACGGCCCGGGGAGCCTGCGGCGCCATTTTAATCCGCGCTCCTCTTTATGGCCTGCGGCGCCTGGCTTGAGCCAGGAAGTGTAAACGAGTCCGCCAGGGCGGTATGCAAACACGGAGCGCGCTGCGCGCGCGGTCTGCGCCGAACTGGGAAAGAATCTTACAACAAAACTCCCTCGCACAACACTGGGCACGGGACTGGCGCGCACTGGAACTAACACAGGTACACCACGGGAGCCGCCTAAGCGACTCCTGCGAGGGTGGCGAGGCACTTAGCTCCGTGCACCCGCCCACCCCCGCCACAGGCAAGCTCATTCACGACCTGCTCTGCGATGGCCGTGTGAAGAACGACTGAGATGCGCTGCTTCTGCAGCCCCAGCCAGCTCTTGGTGGTCCAAGTCACCTCATCGAGGTACTGAAAGCTGCACAAATCGGTTGTCCCGCTGCATCGCGCCTGGGTAAGCCAGCTGCTCGCCCCGCTGCAGGATCGTACAACCAGCCAATGAGAGCGCATGCAGCTTTCTTTTCTATCAAACCTTCTGTACATTCTTCTGTACATTCTTCTGTACACCTTCTGTACACCTTCTGTACACCTTCTGTACACCTTCTGTACACCTTCTGCACATTCTGTACAGGTATGGACGCTCCACAAACCCTATTAGCAGGAGCAGGCGCACATCGCTTCCAGGGAGGGGGGCGCGCTTCTGCTCACACCACATGCTAGGGGGGGGGGTCCGACCCCCCCCAGAGGCTTCACCACATGCTAGGGGGGGGGTCCCGACCCCCCCAGCACCTTCACCACATGCTGGGGGGGGGGGAGGGGGTCCTGGACCCCCCCAGAAACTCCTGGGCAGACTCTCCGGGCCCTTGATTTTACCCCTCATTTCGCAGTATTTTCGAGAGGAAAATCATCCTTTGGAGCTACATGAGCCTTGAGACTGGTCAGGTTATCCAAGATATTGGAGTTTCAGCCACGATTTCACGACTTTGGGGGCAAAATCGGCTCTCTGGCGGCTATTCCTAGCCCACAAACTGCTGGGGGGTGCCCACCACATGCTAGGGGGGGGGTCCGACCCCCCCCAGAGGCTTCACCACATGCTAGGGGGGGGGTCACGACCCCCCCAGAGGCTTCACCACATGCTAGGGGGGTGGGTGGGGCGTGAGCAGAAGCGCGCCCCCCTCCCTGGAACGCTGGAAGCGATGTGCGCCTGCTCCAGTGCGCAGTAGCCGTAATCCGCAACAGTCGACAGTGATAATGCGCAGTCCGCAGCAGTAGTCGCACTATAGTTGGTGCAGCGGCTGCAACGCTGCACTGGGCTCCTCTTAATAATCAGTAGTCATTTTGATTCATCGTTGATAACGTGCAGTAGTCCACACAGAAAGAGCGTGATGTCCGCATTAGTACTAATGCAGTACTCGCAGTAATAATGCGCAGTGGTACGCAGTAGTCCGCAATCCGCGGAAGAGACCGCAGCTGAGTCAGCGGTCAGCAGTAATCCGCAGCGCTTAGCCTGCAGCAGCTGCAGCGCTGTACCGGGCGCCTCAATACTCAATAGTTGAATTCATACTCGAGTAATTGATGATTGCTCTTAACTCATCCGGCCGTATTGACTCATTGGCGTGCATATCTTGCGCTGCAGGCTAAACATGCTCGAAAAGCTCAAACTCGAGGTTGTGAGTAATACAAAAGTGGCCTTTTCAACAAACATTTTTTTGGGAAAGGCGTCTCTTCGAAGGCGTCTCTTCGAACTCCTCGGCCTTCTCGCCCGCCGTCCCTCGAAGGCGTCCTCGCTCGTGAGCTGCTCGCCGCTTCTCATGCCCGCCCTCGTGCTCATCCTCCTCGGCATCGCCTGTGGCGCCTCCTGGCCCACAGCGGCGAGCGGAAAGGGGGCTCGCCGCGCGGCCTCGTCCGCCACCGTCTGCCTCGCCGCCGCCACGGCGTGCCTCACCGGCGCGGCGACGGCGGCGGCGGGCCTCTCCTCAATCTCGTGGTTGGTCCACGGGCCAAAGGACGAGTCCAACACCTTCCTTACTATTCTTACCATTGTCTGCGGCACCGCCGGGCTGCTAGCGGTAAGCGGCGCGGGACCTCCAGCTTTCTCCCGCTCCATCGCCGTGATTATGGAGGTCGCTTGCGTCGTCGCTCGCAGCCCCCTGATGACGTTCCTCGCGGTCCTCGCAACGGGCCACTGCGGAGTGGATGCCAGTAGTCGGAAGCCCAATGCGAACGACCAGCCCTTGATCACCGCTGCATTCGTCTCTTCGACGCCCTCAAACCTGCGCATCGCCTACTGCCTGGCGCTCGTCGGCACGCCCACCGTGGCGATGGCCGCACAACACCTCGCCGCCATTTCTCTCCTGCGCCAAACCGGCACGAATAAGGACGTGCTCAGCATGCAATCGCCCAACAGCATTCCGATGCTCGGCGACGCGCTCAGGACTCTCGAAACCAAGGTCGTGTTTGTCCCAAACGTCGAAGGCAAGTGCCAGTCCTCCTCGGCCGAAAAGTCAAGATTCCGCTTCAGCTTCTCGTTCCACATCCTTCGAGTCTATGAGCAGACTCAGTATGACAAGATCCTCTACCTTGATGGCGACCTCGCAGTACGCACGTCCCCAGACCGCTTGGTGGAGGCATGGGCCCGCCAAGGAACGATGGAGCTGCGCACGCCTATTGGGTGCACCCGCGTCACGGGCCGGAATAGTTACAACACTGGCGTCTGGGGCATCACGCCCTCACGCGATTACGCCGCCGGATTGAATGCTTGGCTCGCGGCTGGCAAGTTCCCCTGTGGCATCGGATTTCAAACTTGGGTGAACATTTACGGAGCGAACAACTCATGGACCAAGGCGTCGCTCGCGTGGAACCTCAAGGCCGACCAAGGCGTGAGCAAGTGTATGCGGAATTTGGGCCTCAAAGAGGCCCACGTGGTGCACTGGTCCGGTAATAGAAAGCCCATAGGCCTTCGTACGGACGATCCTGTCGAGGCGAGAGCTCTCGCTGCGTATCAAGCGGCTCACTTGCGCTGGCTGACATTCTTGGACGCACCAGCCACAGCCTCCGAAACGTTAGCTGGTGAGGTGCCGCTGCTGTCGCCAGAGACGCCAACCGAGGAGGCGTTCCCATCTTCTGCGGCATCGCTCCCGGCAACCTATCCGCCCTCCCCCATGGAGCCCGAGGCGGTGGCCGAGGGCGACAGCGGCAAGGGAGCGACCCTAGGGCGCTGTACCGTTGTGGTGCACTGCTACACCGGCCTCGCCGATCGCATCTTCGATGTCATTGCGGGCGTGGTCGCGGCACAGCTGGCGCGCGGCTGTGTCGTGCCGACTGTGCACGTCGCCGACCGAGACGCGAGCCGCACGTACGATTGGGACCGCGTGCTGAGCTCGCCAGAGTTCCTCGTGCGGAAGCAGCGCGACCCGATGCCGTTGAAGGGCGGACCCACAGCGCAGGCCCTGCACATCGACGGCACTCGCTTCTGCGGGCAACATGGCGTGAGGTGGGTGAGCGACGTTCTCCGGAAAGAGAGCGGCCGCGTAGCGTCCGACTCCGAGCAGCGTGCACGGTTCGTGCACGTGGCGCGTAGCGTGGGCCTCACGCCGTGCTTTCCGCCGGCCGATATTGCCGACCGCGTCGGCGTGCACGCGCGCCGTGGCGACAAGATCAAACTTGGCTGGACGAGCGAGAAGAAGCTCGACAAGGTGTACACCGCCGCCATCGCGTGGCTGCTCGCACACGGCGAGCGAAAGGTCTACCTGGCGGCGGATGAGCCGAGCTTTGCCGCCAAGCTCGCGGAGCGCATGCGCGACGCTCACATCGACGTAGTGCACGACGGGCAGGCCAGCGCCGCCTCCGACCTGTGTGCTCTCGCAAAGAGCAAGCTCGTGGTGAAGGCGGGCTCCGCGTCGCAATTCTCGTCGCTCGCCGCGGCCATCTCCGGAGCGCCCATGGTCAGCTTCGCCGACCGGCGCGGCCGCAACCTCGACCGCGTGTGGAAGAGCGCCGGCCTACTTACCAACATCACGGAACTCGATCCCGAGGCCGAGACGGGAGCGCCCGGGGTGTCCTGGAAGAATTAATTCTTCCAATCCGCCGATAGCTTTAGAGCCGTAGCCGCGACTACTCTCACAGACTTTCCATTCCTCACCGAAGAAATACTTTTCAAAACAGATATGACGAGTGACACACAGTCACAAAGTTGGCTGGCAAAATTGCGTGAAGCAGGCACCAGATTATTTCGTTCGGTCACCTCCACCCTTGGTGCAGAGGCGCGACCGGCGCCTCAGCGGCTGCGCCAGCTGCGGCGCTCTGCCCCGCGATCTCGCACTCCGCCACGTCGACGAAATGCCTGCTAGGCCGGCCGGGCTCGGGCGGCAGCTCGAGGACGGTGACGCCGGAGAGGGTGCGAGCCACCCATGCATGCGTGTCCGCCGAGTCGAGGGTGATTGCCGCGCCGCGAGGCTCGACGGCACCGGCGAGGATCGCGTCGCCTAATCTCGAGGCGATCTCGGGTCCTCCCGGGTGGTCTCGAGCTCAGACAGCGCCGGCGAGGAGCCGCGTCGCCGCGCGCGGGGACAAAATAGAGGCGGAGCGGGTACCGCGCCAAGTTGACGAACGTGAGGCGCACGGGCGAGCCGGCAGCCTCCGACGACGCGAGCGGCGGCAGCGCGGCTGGGGCGCACGGCGGCGGCGGCGGCTCGGTGTCCGCCGTGGAGCACAGCAGCGTCCAACCCTCGCAGCAGGACCCAACCGCGGCGCAGCTCGGCGCACACTCGCACGACGACCCGTCCTCGAACGTCACGCGGCCGACACGCCGCGCCTAGGCGGTGTCTAGGAAGTGTCTCGGAAGTGTCTACGAGCGTCACGCAACTGACGCGCCGCGCCTTGCCCCCCAGCCTGCGAGGCTCGCCGCCGGCGGCTGCGGCGAGGGCGCCCGCCGCGGCGCCGCCGCCCACAGGGAGCTGCGAGGCGTGCGGCTCCGCGGCGCTGCCGAGCGGCGGTCGCGGGGCCGCGTGGAGCTGCGTATGCTGCTGCTGCTGCTGCTGCTGCTGCTGCTGCTGCTGCTGCTGCTGCTGCTGCTGCTGCTGCTGCTGCGCCCACTGCTGCTGCAGCGCCCACCCTCCGAGCGGCTCCTAGAAGATGCGACCCCACCCGTTGATATGATCCCCCCCCCCCCC